TTTATTCTTATACCTCCGACTTTGAATGAGAGTCTCTTTATTTATCTATTTCTCTTTTATGCCATTTCTCGCAGTTATGTCTCTCGCACTTTTATTCTACATAGCATTTCTTTCTTGCATTCATCTCATTCATTCTTTGGCGGGTGGGATTTTCCGCGTCCTACTAGTGGTCTATTTTATAGATTCCGGGAAAGGGGTAATAATTTTACATTCTTATTTATTTCTATAACAGTATTTAATTTTTTCTTACAGCCTATTGATCTACTTATTCCTAAGTTTTCTTTATTTCATTCACATTTTTCTTTTACTGTAAATTTTTTACAAAGTTCTGACTCTAATTTGTTACATTGTTTTATATGTAATGCGTTCTTTAGCACTTATACAATCCTTAACATTTTCTTGTAGACTATAGTTTTTCTTACGTTATTATTTACATTTTGCTTATTAGGTACCTATGTATATGTTACATTAAATATTGTACCAAATATTGGCAAACATATTTTCCTTAACTATTATTATTTCTATTCATAACACTCTTTCCCATTTTAATACAATACTCTGTAAAGACTTCTCTATATTTACTCATTACGATGCTACCTAAGTTATTTATAGCCATCTTGGACTTCATTTAGCTCTCGATATCGTGCCTTTCAGTAGCAAAAATAGGACATTCCAATATAACATGGGGAACGGTTTCTGCAGTACCTGGGTCACATAGGCACGATGGGTTCTCCTTGCACCTGAAACGGCTCAGGTACTCTGAGAACCCACCACAATAAGAGAAGACGCCCGAAAGCTTGATTTCTTTTGACACGCCAATGTCGACCCGGCTCATGCTCAGGCGCGAGACGTCGTATTTTAATTTGCGCGTTATTACCATCGCGCTGGTTTTGTGAGGCGCAAACTTCAATTTATTCGCGACACTCAACTCCCGAACGTACTGGAGGGCGGCATGGGCGCGTCTCTCGACTTCAGCTGCTGTCTCGCCATCGAAAACTAACGCCACATCGTCGGCAAATGCTTGGGCATATTCGTCTCTTCTCTCAAGCCCTTTCAGGAGCGGATTCAGTAACAGATTCCAGAGTATTGGACCACCGATCGATCCCTGTACACTTAGGTGTAGTATAGCCACTTGTTAACCATAACTATTATGTATTTACCTATAATATACCCATGTACTTGAATCGATGAGTAGTATTAAATGTTACATCAAACCAAACGATCGTGTTTTCTATTGCCTCTCGGTCTCATCCTTATATGGCGACCCTGACAGGATCTCGCGACAATGCGAGATCGGTTTTCAAGTAAAGAGCGAATGTGAACAGATTTTGAATTATAAAAAAAATAAATAATTTAAGTGAAGTAGTTCAAAATCAGTATTTAAATGATTTAAACGAAGTGATTGAACAGCAAGTTTGAAAGTATTCTCCACCATGGGTAAGACATATACAAAGGAAGACAACATCATAGTCCAAAACGCAGTTGGAGACGGTAACAACTCTGCCAAGGTGTGCGATTTCAATGGGCAATTGACAACAAACGTCGTGTTGCTGATAATAGTCATTGTGTCCATCCTGGTTGCCCTGTTTGTGGGCTTCAAGAAATATACGGCATATCAGAAAAAGAGAATGCAGAGGCAAGTTACAGAATTTGCTTTGAGGTCAAACGTGTTCCGTTTTTATATAACAAAAAAAATAAAGCGAATAAACAGCGTAGTGCTATAAATCGGAACTAGTGAAGTATGTTATTTGCTCATTATATAAACTATAATTTTAACAAAATTATGCCTAATTAATCGTGTAACCAATGACACTATACTATTAATTTAGATAAGTAAGACATAAATATGCAAGTTAAGAACTATATATGGTTACTAATATAGATAAAATATACGAAAAATTGCTTAAAATTAAAAGTAATTTGGTAAAGTTAGCCACGGAAAAGAGAACAAAGGAAAAATTTAATGAAAAATTGTCAGAAGCAAATTTATTGTTTGAGAAATTTGGCAAGGAAGCAAAAATAGTTAATCAACAAGTTCAGAATAAACAAATAAAGACAGATAGATACAAATAATTATTACTTATATTGTTTAAATACAAAAAATTAAGCACGAACAGTGACATTTTATTTTAATTTTTCCTATTGTTCAGTTTTTGTGTTTGACCCATAATCAAGCCAAAAACTGTTTTACAAGATTTATGGTCACAAAAGGTTGACTGAGACGAGCACGTCAATCAAATTACACCAGATGAATGATCTGAATTAAATAACAATTTCAGTTCACTTTCTAATTTACAAATGCCCCGACGAATAATCTGCTAATCTCCCAATGTCAGAGAAACGCATTCATTCAGCGACGTATCACAGCGAGCCTACGCCGCTTGTGTTTGCATTCGCTGTAAAGATGAGAATGATAACGGAACCTTCAGGCTGTTGCATGGGAAACGAAAGGTCGCTAACTAATGTATACCGGGCACCGCACATCGTTTGTACGATGGTGGTGCGACAATGGCGTAGTTTTAGCATGGCTCAAATCAAACACAAATAAATCAAAAACTTTTGTAGCTAATCGCTTTGGAGAAATTAATGAAATAACCGAGTCATCCGCCTGGAGATATGTTCCTTCAGTTTTTAATTTAGCTGATCTAATTTCTCTTGTTGTCACTGCCAGTCAGCTTCAAGACCTGGAATTATGGTGGTCAGGTCCTAGTTATTTATGCACTGTAAATAACTGCGTACGCTGCCATCGTGTCCAACCTAAAGCGCTATGCCCAAAAATGGGTAATCTACCGCCTCAGCGACTATTCCTGACTTTTCTTTTACGTCTGTGGGCTTAGACTATGCCGACCCCTTTTTAATTGTAAATAGAAAGGGCCATGATGCTAAATTAATAAATGGTATTTATGCTTATTTGTTTGTGCGAAATATAAATGCATTCGCTTAGAAGCTGTGAGTGCTCTATCCAAAGACACTTTTATCATGACTTTCAGACGATTTGTTTCTCGTAGAGGAAAGTCAATGATACAAATGTGATAACGGCCGTAATTTTGTTGCAGTTGATAAAGAATTGTCAAATTTTTTAAAACAATTTTTTTAATACGTAGCTTTGTCTGAATTTGCGACCCCAAGAAGGCGTAAAGTGCAATTTTATTCCTGCATACTCTCCTCACTTCGGCGGAATCTGGGAATCCTGTGTAAAATCTGCCAAATTCCGTTTAAGACGAGTTATGAGCAATTCTCACTTAACCTATAAAGAATTGTCCACGTTATGCGCAAATGGAGGCAGTTTTGAACAGTTGTCTCTCGTATCCCCTATCCTATTCTCTTAACGACTTCCTCTATCTCTCACCAGGGCACTTTCTCGTAAGGCGACCGTTACCTGCGCTACCCACTCGTACCTTGGAGGAACGTGCTGATACTTCTCTAGCACGTTACGCACGGCTTGAGAAGATTCATCACATTTTACACGAACTCCAAAAAAGAAGAAAATGGAAGACAAAGCTGACAACCAAAGATTAAAGATTGGCGATTTAGAGCTCGTTCAAGAAGATGACGTTCCACCACTCTGTTAGCGTCTCGGTCGAGTCCATAGGCTATTTCCGGGTTTCGATGGTATTTTGCAGGTTGCTGAAATTAACACAACGAGAGGAAGTGTGCGACGTCTGTTGGTTCGCCTGTGTCTGCTGCACCCTGCTCCAAGTCAGCGCTGAAAAGGAACCTTTCAGCGAAGGAGGAAGATGTCGCGGCCCCATTAACTCCACTCATGACATCCACACTCAATGTATCTGATCATTACCCGGCCCTACGTGCAGCTCAAAAATGCAACAGCGCCTATAGTTTGAAGTAGACAATTTTTATTAGCACATGTTTGCTATTTGTTCTTTGTCAGGCGTGGTCTGGCATTTTTGTACGTAAGGTGTGACCGAATGAAGTGGTGGCTTCATTCGGCTTTAGCCGTCCATATAGTAAAGTTGTTACCGCACAGCTTTGGTCTTTTATTAACGAAATATTAGGCACATTATGTTCCTGAAACAAATCTTCATAGCAACAAAAATAAAAATTAAGCAGTCATGTCAGCACATTTCAACTTTTGGAAGTTATTTAGTACACAACCCTTCCCAATGACATATGAATGCTTTCCATTGCATTGGAACCGTGACGGTCAATCGGCCAATTACGACTGTACCTGCACTATGTCTTACGCTAATTAGGTATAATAGGAAACAAAAAGTCGGGTACATTTAGAAGATTTATTCAAATAAAAATGCGTAATAAGGACGTAATAGATATAGCTAGTACAAACTTTATGAATTATGAGCACCGTTTGTTAATACTATACAAGAAGTTTCAATAAAATTTGTATAAATGATAAGACAGTTCGTGGAGTTTGCATTTTTTAATCCAAGAAATTAAGCTGGTTTCATTTTTGATCAAAACATGAATATGTACAGTCAACAGCACATCGAAATACACATTGACGCATCGTGTTCCGTTGCACTGGAGGCGATTTTTGAACAAAAATGTGTAGTCTGATGCGCTGTTGTCCGTACAGGACGGTGGCGCCATCGGACGCTTCCTATAATGACACATAAAACTGTAAACAACGCGTGCAGGAGTAGGCGGCTTGTTGTGCCAACGGTATAAATGCAGCGCGCAGCGGAGCAGTGACACGGTGCATATGTTCTAACATATGTTCACCTAGCTGTGAAGCTTGTCCTAAACTAGTTCGGATAATTCATTCTAGATAATTAATTATAATCTGTAAAAATTACAGACTAATAAAACAGGGTTGATTTAAGTAACTTCGTATTTTAATTCAACATATTCGTTCCCCTTTCCAACATACACGTTATAGATATAATATAGGTATAGAGAACGCATCGCTGGATTAGATTCAGGCTTAACGGTGTGGCTGTTGTGATTAGAAACGACATTGTCCAGTGTAGCCATGTGTCGTGTGTTGGTTATATACCTATACATATTAATAAGTAGACCCATGTCGTCCACGGAGAGCAAGCACAATGGCTTAATTTTTTTGGTACAAGGGTGCTTGCACCTGGTGTGTCACGATGGTCAATCAGGCAGCCGTCACTTTCCTGTAATCGCAAAAATATGTCGTATTTTAATCAAACTACAATGAAATCGCACCCCTCATGGAAGAATGGTATAAGGCTAATGAAGGTGATTCGCCTACCGAACATCGCCCTGTGTTAATTTAATCTTTTAAAAATAGCTACTTTAAATTTTTCAAGTCTATGTATTTTTGTAAGTGTTCATAATTATTCAATTCGCCACGAAAACTGTTATCTCTGTGAAATACCTAGTACTTGTAAGGGATTTTAGTGCTTAACATCGGTTACAAATTCACTTTGTACGTATTAAAACTGTGTGTGCCTTCGATTACGAAAGGATGATAAATAACATCATTTCGTAATTTATTCCTGTATAATCAGTGTGTGAAGTGCAAATAATTGGAACAACAGGATTACAAGTGTTTTTGACAAGGAGACTGGTTGCACCCGTCGTTTTTAAATAACATCTTGCTAATAATACCCACTTCGTCGCAACTTGTTTACACCGAATAAACAACCGACTCCGAAATCTATACAGTTATTTTGCCAGTACAAGATGTGTACGCATTGGTCTAGCGGTATAGTAGGCGGACTCAGAGCTCACCGCCTGCGGCTGCGGTTCGCATCTCTGCTACCAAAGTGGGAAGTAAGTATTTATTTTGAAATATTTTTTATTATTCTACTTGTTTTTTTATTTTCATTTATTTTCCTCTATAGCGTTAGTATTTATTTTTAATTTTTTTTTATTATTCTATTTGTTTTTATACGTTCTGTATACGATTTATACGCCCTATAAGTTCGGACACTTTTTAGCGCGGACCCGACGTCCATATAATTGTAAGTCAATGATAGCGTTATATTAATTTTATTTTATCAATAGTAATATAACAGTCCAAGAACACCTCACAAACATACAACACACTGAAACTGTCTCCTTTTGCTTGAGTTTTGTCAAACAAATGCCGGAGACAACGCACATACCTCCACACACACTCCATTAAATATTTTTATTTGGATTACGTTACGTTATTATATATTGTTCGATTGCACTGGAGATTTATCACAGATAGACTAATCTTTAGTTTATTACTAATACGTATGTTAGTAGCTATTGATAAAACACATTAACTGTACATAAATACCTAGTTGCAAGTCTCAACCTACTTCAACCATTTGAAGTAGACATTGACATAAAGACATACACATTATATACACAAAGCTCACGTCTCTGAGTCAAAGTGAACAATCTATTAAATATAATATATACATAGGAGTTATTTTTTTATTTTCCTTTTAGCATTTCTGTGGATACATTTTAATATTATTTTTAATTAGGATTTGTATGTTTTACGTAAAAAATAATCAGACAAACCTGGTTAATTAAAATTATCTTTTATATGTATTAAGGATTACAAATTATTAGACAATAGCTCTTATTTTGTGTTAGTAGTAACTTTGTAATTGAAGAGGCCTGTGTCAAGGGTATATAGTATCGACAATATATTAGCCGATAGAGTTACAAGAATTGGAGAGGATGTGGTCTATATTTTTCTGTATCCAATGAAGCAATAAATATTTTCGACGTAACTTTACTTATGCCATTCTTCCATGAGGAGTGCGAAATGTGTTTTTAAGGATTTCGATTTTTCATATTGATTATTAAGAGTCAGACATAGTAATGGTTCAACTTGTTTACAGGTCACCACGTATGCGGTAATTTCATTCTGGAACATGTCTTTAAAAATGAACCTTCCTTCAGCGAATAGAGGTCATTGTACGAGAAACAGCAGTGAGTCGCATCGAATACCTTTCTCATCAAGAGTCATCGTCTGTCTTTAAACATTAGATCAACATAATCTCTGAATCTAGGAAAAAAGACAGTATTGTTCCCATCTTGAAATTCATTACCTCCCCAAGTTAACTATGTTCGCATCTAATTCGACTATATTTTATTCTGAAAAGTTACTGAAGCAACGCTGATTGACAAACTGACATTGAAAACAAAAGAACAATATCTGTCTGAGTCATAGATTTAGTATATAAGTACCCACAGATCGGCTCTGAAGTATTTGAGGCGAAACCAAAACAAAAATACATCGGTGAGTGTGTCATGTGCATGTGGGCAAGATAAATAGTGTTAAGCCGTGCACTGACTCGATGATATCGATTAACATATTACAACATCATTTCACTTCGTCGTATGCACCAAAATAATTATGATTCTCGCGTGAGCGACGGAGATGCCAATAGAATAGGGCAACCCGATTTCGAATACTGAAGTGAAGTACCAGTGTTACAGTCTTACCGCAAAACGCACAGACGTTAATTAACTAGTTGATTAATGATTCAATAAAAAAATCGTACGCATTAATTAATTAAAAACGTAAGCATTCGTACCAAGCACGTGGGCTTTCTTTTAAACCATTAAGAGAATTATACAGATTGTACACTTTGTCAGTATACCGTCGTCATAACCAAGAGGCTGTTTATCACACACTTTACCATTCAAAAATGCAGTCTCTACATCCATTTGATGCACATGTAAGTTAAATTGGCAACAGTACGAGAAAAGTAGTTTCAAAATTTGCATCCTAGCAACAGGTGAATACGTATCATGAACATTGGTGGTTTGTTATCATCAACATGGTAGCAGAGCTTTTGACTAAGAAATGAAAAACAAATAAGTAAAATGAGTAAAACCAATTTTTGGCGGAACGGATTACGCAAATTGGAAAATTCGACTATTGAAATTTCTTCAATTTAAGAAATGTAAGGAAGTAGTTATTAGAATAAAAATGGAAAGAGATGACGCTACTCAGTGGGATGAAAAGAATGTGCAAGATACAAATTATATGTACAGCGCGATTACCAATCAACAGTTGGAATATATCAGCGAGCTAGAGTCAGCATACAAAATTATTTTAAAATTTAACGAAATGTATTTAAAGTAATCTACAGCGTTACAGATCGTGTGCAGAAATAATTTAGAAAGTATGAAGCTAGCGAAATATTCGGATACTAATATTTTCTTCGATGAATTCGAACGATGTGTCAACGATTAAAAAAGGCCGGCGCCATGATATATTAAACTATATGTTAAAAGCAATGCCCGGAAATTACAGTTGCATTGGCGATTTAATAGATGTTTTGCCAGAAAAAGAAAGAACCGTAGAATATTTAAAAAGTAAAATAAGAATGAAGAAAATCCAAAATGTAGGCGAAGAAATGCCAAGTATCTCGAACTAACTAACTAACTAAGTCAAAGTGGTATCGGAGAATAAGCGTACATGTTTTACTTGCGGAAAAGTTCAGGGCATATCTAAAGAGATTGTTGGAACAGAAATCGCGGTCGCGGACGCGGACATTATGCTCGAAGTTGTGGTCATGAACGTGGCCACTACAATTTTGCACCAAATAGAGGTAAAGGCAATTACTATAACATGGAATATTATAAAAAGAGCTTCTACACATGTATTGTGAACAATTCGACGATTAGTGAAGATGTTCCAATTAAGGCAGGACAAAGAAATTGGCTTTTAAACAATGGATGTACAGACCATATAATAAATACTCACGAATATTTCGACAATTATGTGACATTAAAAGAACCAATAAACGTAAGGGTTGGAGATGGAAGAGTATTGAAAGCGACAAAGGTTGGAAGCATTACAACTTACTTTCTTGTTTATAGGAACAAAAACAAAGTGATAATAAACAAAGTATTTTATGTAAAAGAGATGAAAGCTAACTTGTTAAGTTACTCGAAAATAACGGATAATCACAAAATAGTTTCGACAGGATGTTCATCGAAAGTATATAACATGAATAGAGAATTGATAGCAATTGAGAAGAAAGATGGTAGATTTTACAAAGTAAGCAGTTTTATCTGTAAGAAAATAGGCGCAAATGCAGCAAACTGTAGTATGACATTGAAAGAAAAGCTTCACCGAACATTTGGTCATATAAACTTCTATTATCTTGACATAATGTGTAAAAACCAAATATTAGAGGGATTACCTAAACAAATAGAAACGGATTATATGAAGTGTGCTATTTGCGTCGAAAACAAGATGCACAATTTGCCATTTAACAACAACAGGACGAAAGCAGAAGATATATTATATATTGTACACACGGATGTTAACGGACGACATAGAACTACAGTATACCAAGGAGAAAAATATTTTTTGACATTTATAGACGATTATAGCAAGTTAGCGAGAGTATATTGTATTCAATCCAAGGAACAAATTTATAAATGATTCATAGAACACGTTAATCAAATACACAATATTACAGGGAAAATGATCCAAGACATACGATGTGACAACGGAAAGGAGTACATAAATAGTAGAATATTTCATTTCGCAAGAGAAAAAGAAATAATAAGCAAACCTTGCCCAGCATATGTTCATGAATTAAATGGTACAGCGGAAAGATATAATAGATCGATAATGGATATGGCACGATGTCTTATGGCTGAAGCAAAGGTTGGCAGACGTTATTGGCCAGAAGCTGTCAATACCGCCGCTTATTTAAAAAATCGTATAATGACAAATATCTAAGAAAGAAAAACACCATTTGAAATAGCTTTTCATGAGAAACCAACTGCAAAATACTTGAGAATGTACGGTACTAAAGTCTATGTAAGAGTACCTGAAGAAAGACGAACGTCAAAATAAGACAAAAGGTACTAGGATATGCAGATGTTGGGTACAAAGTATTGATCGATAATAGAGTTGTCGTTGCAAGACCCGTGGATATAATTGAGGAAGATGTTAAGCTTATTGCTTTTGATGATAATGAAGAGGAAAATAAAAAAGATGGGAAGATACACTATATGAAATTGAAACAGAAGACTCGGTACCTAATAATAGTGGTAAAGAAGCGATAATGAATAATGAGAAGATAACTTCTAAGAGACAAATTAAAGCGCCACATCGATTTAATGAAGAATTTGGCTACTACTGTATGACCATTAATTACTGTGACGCGATGGTGCCAAATACTTTTTAGGAGGCGAC